AAATGTTACCAATCGGGATATGCTATTTGTATAATAAGTAATAATAAGAATATCCCTATTGATGACTTAGGGATAATTCGATTGGAAACTAGATGTTAATAAATTGATATTAATAAGAATAATCCTATTGATATCTTTATAACACCCTGATTGAAACCTTATTGTATCCTATCTGCGCCATTAATCGTCATCAATCAGGATTACCTGATTCTAAAAAAACAAAAAAACAGGGAACCAATCAGGTCAAATCTGGTAATCCAGATTTGACCCAATTGGTTCACTATTTGTCATTGTTTGACTAGTGATAGGTGAACTGTTTGATTCATTTTTGAATTGAAGTATTTTTCATAAAACTAGAATTATAATGACAATGTGTGCATATTTTTTTTTACATGCATGAAAAAATTATATTAATTAGTGTGCTATATTACATTCAGCAAAATGATATAATATGAGTAAAAGTTGTATTTCACCACAAGCTTTAACATATTTTGTAGTTTAGTAGAATCTTTAGTTTTACTTATTTTAGCTCATAGAGATAATTATCCAAATTATCCTTTTTTTTCTTGGAAACATGATACAGAAGCACTTGAACATTTATTTGGAATTGCTAGACAATTAACATCAGATTTTTTTTATTATGAATTGTATAAAATAATAAGTCGAATACAATATAGAGACGATATTTTACGTAGTGAAAATATATCAAATACTCAAAAAAAAATATCTGCATCAGGTAAATTAATTTAATTGATTTAATTTTAATTTTATAATATATATATATTATTAAATATTTGTAAATTATAATTTATTTAATTATAGGTTATATCTTTGATTTTGATACTTGTATTTCAAATATCAATATCAAAAATTACGAAATTGGCCATTAGATGATGAAGTAAATGATGCTATAAGGATTGCATCTGAAAATGCAAAAGAATTTTCAAATCTTCTTCAAATGAAAAAGCAATCAAAAAATAATAATTGTATTAATTCTTTACTTTCTGAACCTTTTGAAACTAATACAAATAATAATCAATTAGTAAATGAAGTATCACAAAGTATCACTATTGATCAAGTTACAGATGAGCTAAATAGAATTTCGCAATTGGATGGTATTCTTGATAGCTATTTTGAAAATAATATTTTAAATGATTTGAATAATAAATTAGATTATAATGAGCCAGAAGATTTATTGGAAATTAATATTACTGAAGCTGGAAGTTTTATAAAGAAAACAGAAATTAGCTATATAATTAATAATCCAAAATCAAATATTTCACAAGAATCCGTAAATGATGAGTTTAAAGAAAAAATATTTAGAAATAATAGAAGTTATGATATATTTTTAATGTTGGAATTGCGAAAGTCCTGTGAAGCTTTTTCTCATTCTGATCATCCTCGTAGAATACGAACTCATATAACTGTTAATTTAGATTAAGAATCTCAAAATGGAATTAATTGAAACTTGGCTAATCATTTGGTAAATCAATTAAGTAATAATCAAAATTGTCAAGTTATCAGAAGTAGAATACAACATTAGAAAGGTCGTAACCAGCTACAATCATTAGTTAATTCTAATAAAATGTAAGGTAAAAATATTTAATTATTAATTTTACCTTCATTAACTTTTAATAATAGTTTTATGTTAAATTTTTAGTAACTGATATAAGCTGTGTTAATGTTTCTTAAGCTTACCCATTAGAAAAAGATGGTTATTTGCTTATGTTTACTGATAGAATGTTATGCATTGCAATGTATCAAATGTTAGGTGGAAAACAGTTACAAGAACTATTGATAATATTGATTCATTGTCTTATATTTCAGTTTTATTATTTGTTAATATATATGGAGATTCATTATTTTCAAATGAATGTATGGCGGGAGGCAGATTATATACACATTTAAAATCAAAAGAAATTGTATATTATTTCAGAATTAATGTTTTTTTATTTTACATTCAAATTCTCTTCTTACATTTGATAAAGATTCATTAGAAATTTATTCTTTTTTTAAAAAAGAAGAAACACAATTACATTTAGCTTCTATTTTTGATAACAAGAATGCAAGTTGTGACAATTGATTACTAAATAAATATAATATTGATCTGCTAATAAAAGTTAATATAAAATTTTTATAGTATATATAAAAATGCTTCTATTAGTAATAAGGTAAATTTATTAGTCAAAAGGCTGAGTAAAAAAATGATAGAATTTGATTATTTTTGCTGGTAATATCAATTATAAGTTTTTGGGATCCTGATCATATGGGAGCTGATCTATTAAAAATGGGTTACGGAAAATTTTTACAAAAAATGAGATTTTTGATTCATATTATAGTATATTATATGAACTTTATTTGGTTAAATTTTTAGAG